GGGGTGGGGTCTGCACACAGATCGGGGGGCGGGGGTCCACATACAGAGCGGGGGGGTGGTGGGGAAGCTGGGTCCGCTGGGTCCGCACACAGAGTGGGCCTCGGCACTGCTCACCCGCCCTCCACCCGTGCAGTGGCTGAGCTGCGGATCACACTGAGTGTCCAGATGAGGCCCATCCCTGCTCGTCCCGTTAGGACACAATTGAGGGAGGCCTCGATACTGAGCACCGTCTGCGGGTCTCACCCTCGAGGCCACCACAGCCGGGAGCAGACCCTCCTGTCTGGACACCTGCCCGTGAGGAGCGTGTGGCCCCAGCAGGCATGGCCCGGCTGGCTCTGTGCAGGCCCTGGACACCGGCCCTTCTCCCACACGGAGGAGTGGGGGGCTTCTGACCGTCAACTGTTGTCACCCCAGGTCACACACAGTGCCATCCCCCTGCAAACAGCGCTTCCTTCTCCCATAAACTGCGCCGGACGCAATCAACAGGGCTGCTTCCGCAGGAGGGGAGAAACCCACGGCCGTCGGCCTGAGAACGTGCGGACTCGGCCTCCCCAAGAGCGAGGCCCCAGTGTCCACCCAGTCCCCAAGCAGCTTTGGCTGAGCCGCCTGTGGACGCTCCCAGCTGCAGGCCTGCAATGAGGGACGGGGGTCTGGGAAGACGGCCCAGCTGAAGTACCCCACACCCCAAATCTGTCCTCACGGGTGCTTGGCAGTCCCGCTGCACCGGAGTCTGCTGAGAAGGGGCGTGTGTGCGTACGCAGGCCACAGGCTCACCTGACCCGCAGGCCTTCTCCGTAGGGCAGGACTGAAAAGGCCGCACACAGGGACCGCTTGGCGCAGATTAGCACAATCCTGCAGGCAGGGGGCAGGGGGTCAGGACAGGGGGGCAGCAGGCTTGAGGGTGAGCTGCTTACAGGGGTGCAGGCACTTCCAATAAGAAATTCTTCCCCACCTGAACGGCAAAAAGACCTCTCACTTTTAAGATAAACTCGGGTCTGAGGGGCCTCTGGGGCCCCGGGAGGGGCGGTGGTGAGTGTGCTGGCGGGTCGAGTGCGCGCACACAGGTGGAGCGCGTGGGTGGAGCGCACGCGTGGGTGGAGTACACGCACACAGATCAAGTGTGTGTGTGGGTGGAGTGCACACATGTGGGTCAAGTGTGTGCGTGGGTTGAGTGCACACACGAGGGTGGAGTGTGCGTGTGGGTCTGGCCCTGGGCTGTGCAGGTCAGGTCCCCACGCCCACGGCTCTGGGGCCAGATTCCCTAGAGGTGCCCGATAACGCATCTGGGTGAAGCGTGCGTCCCAGCCCGGGTGGTCTGCTGTGTGCAGCGCTGCCTCGACATGCAGGAAGGCATCCTCCTGGCCTGTGTGGCAGACAGGGTGGGATCTTGTGTCTTGGGACCCAGGTCTGGGTGGGTGGACAGGCAGAGGGGAGAGGACTGAGGGGGAAGGGAGACCAGGGGCAGTTCCAGGCCCAAACTCGCCCACCCTGTTGTCCAGCGCCAAGCTGACCGTGAGGCCCTCCCCTCGCGCTCTGCTGCTGGGCCCCCGAGTCCTGCAGCCGGAACCACGCTCTCACTCTCTGGCTCTGGCTCTGGCCACTTGGCCACGGTCTCAGAAGGGGCACCAACATCAAGGGGCAAGGAGGACCCCTCGCTCCCTCGTGTTTTGGCTGGGGCTCTCGGCGTGGCAGGGGTCGAGCCAGTCGTGTGACAACACAGAACTGGGCGAGGCGGCGTCTGTCCGGATCCACAGTCACCACCAGAAGCCCAGCGCTCACCCTGCAAAGGCCCTGGGGGAGCACCCACAGGGTGGCCTTGGGCGGGGTGGGTGACTCACACTGTGCCAAGGAACAGCTGGGCGCCATGCTGCACCCCAAGTGGGAAGCCTGACTTTGGAGTTTAGCTAAACTGCTCTCTGACTCGAAAGGACAATCAAACCACCCCTTCCTGGGCACGGGTCATTGGGAAGCCTGTCCCTATATGTCAGAGGTCCCTCAGGTGACACTGCACCCAGGATTCTGGGAGGATGGGTACCCCAACCAGCCGTGGACTTGCAGGCACCATGCCAACAAGAGACAAAGGTGGGGGGCGGGAGATGTCCCTTCTAAACGGACATGGGGATGGGCCCTGGAGGGCAGGTGCCTCAGGACCTAGAGAAGGGGCGTCTGTGACGGAGGCCGACTTTGAAGAAGCCCAGGAGGCCTGGCGCGTCCTGCAGCTCCTGCTTCACCATGAGGGCATCAGAGCCCTGCGCGGGGACCCTGCGGACCCGGGCCCGCTCCCTGGGAGCCACCCCGGTGCCCTCTGAGCCCGCGGCCTGGCGCTGTCTGGCGCTACCTGCTGCTCTTGGTGTCATACTGCCGCATGTTCTTGATGAAGTGGGTCTTCTTCAAGCCTTTGTGTCTTGGGGACCCAGACATGTGTTTGGTTCTGCAAGGAAAAAACAGGTCACTTCTCTCCCTCCTGGCCTCTCCCTTGGCCTCCGGGGGCAGTGCAGCCCGAGCACATGGGGCCTCGGGGTGGTGGACTCAGGCAAGGACAGAGGCCTGGGTGAGGGTGGTGGGCGTGGGTGCGTGCCGTGGCGAGGAAGTTACCTTTGCACCGAGGCACACCCCACCACGTCTTCCAAGAACTCCAGGGAGCAGCGCTGGGAGGTGACACGCCGTCTGTGAAGATGCACAGGGAGGGGACGGAGTCAGGGAGGCCTCAGAAGCAGAGCGAGCACAGACGCTGCCAACACGCCTTTAAGGCACCTTCTCCCAGAGACACCACCGGGCCGCTCTATGGGGGGAAGGGCGGTTCGTGCGGCTAAGGCGTTTCATGCAGGAGGTTGAGCGGGGCAGTGCTTTAGGGAAGGGGTGCTCTTCTGGTGTCTGAAGACCACCCTGAGTCAAGTTATTAACACAATACAATTTACATCTTTTAAATGGTAAAAGCAACAGGAGCTGGTTGAGAAAAACTAAAGCTGAAGAGAGAAATCACTGCAGCAAAACGCCGGACCTCCCTGACCGCCTACCCTGGCCTTGCTGGCTCCGACCCCATCTCAGAGGACGGGCTGTGCATCCCCCTGACCCCTGATGCCTCTGGGCAGCACAGACCCAGGGCTGCACCCGGACTTGGGCCTCGGATGCAGCGGAAGGTCCCCAGATGGGAGTGCTGGTGCGGGAGAGCCCCATGGACCTCAGACATGATGGGGGTGGGAGGTCGGCCCACGCTCAGCCTGGGTCCTCCAAGCAAGGGCTGGAGGGAGGGAGGAGGCCAGGAAACAAGGGGCCTCTTCAGGGAGGCTGTTTGGAGTGATGTTCAGGTGTTTGGGGTGATGGGAATGCAGAAGCATTGGACAGCTCTGGGCTGGGGTGCCCAGGCCAGCAGGACTGGGAGGGCTGAGGGAAGGGGGCGGGGCAGTGGGGAGAGGACAGCAGATCAGCCACAGGTAGGGGATCCCAAGAGGCACAAGTGGGGCCAGGTGAGTGCTGACCCAAGATGGAGGACAGCAGGCAGGCCCCCCAGCTGTGTAGAGCCGAGGGGACCTTCCCAGACAGGCCATGTGTGCCCCATGGGAAAACCGTGCGCCCCACAGGGCTGGGCCCAGAGGCCCCGGGCAGCAGCCCTGGTACGTTCTTGGAGGCTCATTAGCTTCTAATTACCCAGCTGAGGCCATGCCTTCCGCACCCCTGGGACCTTGCTTGCAGGCGCCCAGCCCAGCGGCAGGGCCCCCGGAAGCCTGTCCCGCTGCATCAGTGCCCCCCTGCCCGGTGCTGCCTGGCCTCTGCGGCCGGCCCGCTCACCCGCTGTGTCCTGGTCACTGTGGGGATGATGCCCTTCCCCCCAGCAAGCATCTAGAGCGGCTCTGGTGGTCTCAGATCATTTCCTCTGTGATCTCCTTCTGCCCCCCTTCCCTGTGGGCACCTTATACATAGATCCAGTCCTCACACTCACTCTATAGTGGTTACTACCCCATTGTACAGGTGGGGAAACTGAGGCCCAGTCCCCATCGCTTGGCCAGGGTGGGGCTGGGATCTGGCCCAGGCGGTGGCTCCCACATCTATGCCTTGACCGCTGGTGGCACTGCCCCTCCCCGGCCTAAGCCCCTTCTGGCACCGCCCCGACCTCGCCAGCCTCGCCTGGACAACAGTGCCTTTCTGCTCGGGGCACGCTTTCTGAACCCTGTCTTCACTCCAGGGATGTTCCCAGTCACAGCCAGGGCTTTCCCACTCCCTTCCCGCTCCGTGGGAACCAGAGTTTGTGGAGGAAGGACGCCGAGGGCGGACTCGGGGCCCCAGGGACACGAGGCCGTGCTTTTGCAGGCCTGCTGTGTTCTGAAAAGCGTGAGGCTTAAAAAGTCAATTACTGAGGGATAGTCGCTTACTTCTGGGCGAGTGGACCGATGTTGAGAAATGGTAGTTAGAGGGCGGCCCTAGGAGAATAGAAATCGTGGATCATGGCCTCCAGAGGGTGCTAGGGGCTAACACCCCTCGAGGGGGCTGAGAGAGAGAGAGTGAGGGAGCAAGACAGTGAGAGAGAGCAAGAGACAGAGAGACAGAGACAGAGAGAAGACGAGGGAGAAAGAGACAGAGAGCGTGAGAGAGACAAGGAGACTGACAGAGCGTGAGAGAGCGACCCAGAGAGAGAGCACGCGTATCTGCTCACACTCAGTCCAGTGCAAACAGCGCTCGCCACACATGGAGACGTGGCTGGAGTGAGCAGAAGAGCAGTGACAGTGGCCTGTTGGTGGCTGTGGAACATTCTGGAAGTGGGAAAGTCCACACGTGGGAGAGGAGTGGTCCTCTCACTCTGAGGGCTGCCACACAACATCCTCAGTGCTGGAGCGACCAGGCTCCTGGCATCTCCAGACAGTGAACGAGAGAGAAACCACCCGGCTGGCCACAGCCTGAGTCCTAACCTGCAGGACCCTTGCCCCTTCCGGCCGTCAGGACGGGACTCTGAAGCCGGCAGGCGCAGCCACCCTGGGCCTTGGATGCTTGGGCCCAGCCTCTCTCGGGTCGGCCACCTGAAACCACCACCGAGCGCCGGCACTGTTGCGGTTAAGGAGGGTGGCGAGAGGGCGTTTCTGTCAGTGAAGACACGCGAGACACTCCCGAGAAGTAGGACTGTCGTGACTTTAAATCGCCCGCCAGGGAGGCGGAAGCGTCAAGGACAGCTATGCGCAGTCACGGGCCAGGTCTGAGCCACCCTTCTGTGGGGGCACCCCAGACGCTGACCCCGTGCCCGCACCAGCCCTACGGAGGCCACCCCAAATGCTGACCCCGTGCCCACATTAGCCCTACAGGGGGCACCCCCGATGCTGACCCCGTGCCCGCATGGGCCCTATGGAAACTTGTCTGCTCGGCCACAAGATACACGTCGGACCATTGGCAGAATCTCAGGGGATGTCCCACGTCCTGAGCTGGTGCAGTGGTGACATGGGAGTGCACGTGTATAAACCCACTGATCCGTGCCTGAGGCCTTGCACACGCACATTCCCACTGGGGGTGTTTTACACCTCAATTTAAAAAAGGCTAAAAACCAAAAACAACCTTTGAAAAGAATGCAGTTTGGGCTTCCTGCTATCTTGCTAATACACAGACATACAGACACAGCACCCCCTCCTGGACTCCTGGGGAGTGCAAGTCTCCCCAGGTCCCAGGAAGCCTTCTCCTGCCGAGTCATGTTAAAGCCACGGGGACAAAGAGGTCATCTGCCTTAATGACGTGCCAGTGACCGCCTGGGGGGGCCTGTCTCTGACTCCATAGGAGAAGGAGCCAGGGTGTGGGGGGCTGCTGGAGGCGAGGTGGCCACCACCTTCCGGGTCTGCTCACCCTGAAACAGGCACAGAAAGGAAGAGAAAGCTATTTATGAAACAAAGTTTCTAGTGTTCATAAACCCTCCACTTTGTAACTGAAGACAGTGAGGGGAGGACAGAGTCACCAGCCAAGTCCAGGGCGGTTAGGAGGGTCTCCACCCGGCTCGGGCGGGCTCAGAGGCTCTGGAGAGCAAGGGCTGGCTGACATGGCCTTGCAAACAGGACTGGGCAATGGGGGGGGTGGATGTGCAGCCTTAGCGAAATGACCACACTTGTCCATGGGCCGCCCAGAAGTTTTGGCCCCAGTGACATTCCAATCAGGCGCCACCAGGAAAGCCATGGGCACTCGGTCCTGAACTCAGTGAATAGCAACCTGCCCGGCCAGCGCCTGGCGCACCGCAGCCCTGCAGGCATCTGTCCAGTGGCAAGGCGGTGCTGGGTGCCTGGTCTCAGGAAGCCCCAGGCAGGCAGAGCCCAACTACCATGTTCTGGAACACTGAGCAGAGGCCTGCAGGAGCCCTGCACTTCCCACGGGAAAGGGCCCACAAGGGGGCTGGCCAGGGCTCACCTGGGCAGCGTTAGGAAACCACCTCTAGGCTCTGACCACGGCCACCCACCTCCAGCTGTTCTCCAGCTGGACCACAAACCCCCCAAATCAGGGTTACAAATGGCCAGCTGCCAGGCTGAGCCGAAATCAGTCGGATTTGGACAGGCGCTCAGTGGCTTCTGGAAAGCTAAGCGGCTCCAGACCCAGAGGGCCCCACATCTGTGCTAAAGCCCCAGGCCTCTTCTCAGACTCTGTCTGCACCAGCCCCTCAAGCGGTGAGGTGTCTCCCCTGCACAGGGCTGCTCCCCATGCCCCTGCCCCTGCTGGCCCCGTGTTGGCTGTGATTTCAGAAGGCCCCTCTCTGTGCGGATGGCACCCTCTTCCCCACCGTCAGCCTTGCCCAGAAGAGACACGAAGCCTCCTCGGAAACCTAGCCTGCTGCTGGGCGCCAAGTCACCACCGACTGGCGATAACTGGCGATAACGTCACTGGTTGGACCTAGGTGTGAAATTCAGATTCTCCTGGGGGGTAAGCTGCGAGCTGTCCCCAGGCCACCGTGGGGTGACAAGGCCGTGCTCATCTCAGCCACCGCCATGCCCCACAGAGTCCTCGACGCACACCTGACACTCCCATCAGTCTCCTCACGTGGGCAGTGCTTAACGTGAACCCCGCTCCACAGAGCAGGACACTGAGGCCCAGGGAGGCTGAGTAACTTGCTCAAGGTCACAGGGGAAGGACCCGGTCGGCTCCCAGAGCCGGGCTCCAACCACTGCACTCACGGGGGTCTCTCAATTTCCTTAAAAACACTAACCCTAGTACTCCAAAGGCCGTCGCAGTGGCCCCTTACTTGCCCCCGCACTGGGCCACGACTCTCCGTGGCCGCAGAGGAGTGGAGAGTCCCCACTCTGGGCGACCGGTCAGAGAAGGGGCCACGGCTGCCATGTCAGGTCAGTGCCCTGGACTAGCAGGAGAGGACGGGGGAGTCTGTGCAGGCAGGTGTGTGTCGGGGCGGGGGGGTGTCCTGAACTGACAGGGCCGGAGGAGACCTGACCCCTGTGTCTGGAGGTCTAAGGGCTGAGGGAACCCTGAAATCCACCTTTGGGGGATGGACAAAACTTTGACCCCTACATGCAGGAGCTAAGAGAATTAACTAAGAGGACCTTGACCCTATCACCCATGTCTAGGGGGCTGCCTGGCCCCAGGCCACCCTGACCTCTGAGTTGTAGGCTGATGGCGCCCCAGGCCACACTGGCCCCAGAGTCCTGGGCTGACAGGGCCCCAGGTGACCCTGACCCCCAAGTCCTAGGCTGATAGAGACCCATGACCCTCCCCCCCCCCGAGTCCTGGGCTATCTGGACTCCAGGTGACTCCAACTCCTGAGTCCTGGGCTGACCAGGCCCCATGTGACCCTGACCCCAAGTCCCGGGCCGATGGAGCCCCAGGTGACCCTGACACCTGAGTTCTGGGCTGACGGAACCCCAAGTGACCCTGAGTCCTGGGCTGGTGGAGCCCCAAGTGACCCTGACTCCTGAGTCCTGGGCTGATGGGCCCCAGGCCACCCCAACTCCCAAGTCCTGGGCCACCGGGACTCCAGGTGACCCCGACCCCAGAGCCCTGGGCTGACAAGGCCTCAGGTGACCCTGACACCCAAGTCCTGGGCTGATGGAGCCACAGGTGACCCCTTACCCCTGAGTCCTGGGCTATCTGGACTCCAGGTGACCTTGAACCCAGAGTTCTGGGCTGACAGAGCCCCAGGTGACTCTGATCCCTGAGTCCTGGGCTGTCTGGACTCCAGGTGACCCCACCTCTTTAATCTTGGTCTGTGTGGACCCTAGGTGACCCTGATGCCTGAGTCCTGGGCTAACCAGGCTCCATGAGACCCTGACCCCAAGTTCAGAGCTGATGGGGCCCCAGGTCCATGACCCTGAGTCCCAAGTCCTGGCCTGTCCGGACACAGGGTGGCCCCAACCTTCAGTCTTGGGTTGACAGGGCCCCAGGTGACCCTGAGCCCTCAGTCCTGGGCTGATGGGGACCCAGGTGACTCTGAATCCTGAGTCCTGGCCTGTCCGGACACAAGGTGACACAGATCCCCCAATCCTGGGCTGTCCAGCCCCAGACCACCCTGACCCGGGTGTCTGCCCCACTCACCTCTGGCGCTGCACGTCCAGGGCCAGGCCAGCAGCCACCTGAGTGGGGCTGAGCAGACCC